CCACACGGTGTTATATGATACAGTTGCACCTCACTACTACGGTGTTATATGATACAGGGTTTCACGTATAGATACTATTTGATCTGCCCTTCCAGTGTTTGCATGCATGATTACGTTTTTTACAAAGTTTTTCAAATGTTAGCACTAAGTGTTCATACGACACTGTGATATCAGTTGCCCTTAACTCATGTGATAACGAGAAGCTGTTGTCATGGGAACACTATCCGCTTAGTCTCAAAGAACAGGTAAAGATGCTGGTGGTGATTTCCTGTGGCGGGGTTTACAGATAAACTCCTCCTTACTGTAGATACTGTCGAGACCTGCGTCCTAATTGTCCGTGTATACACTGTGTGGAATATGTGTCATCTTTGCTTTATGTGGTATCATTGGCATGTGTGTGGTGTATATGATATCATTGGTATATGTGTGGTATATGCTGTATTATTGCTATATGTTCGGTGTATTCGGTATCATTGGTATGTGTGTGGTATATATGGTATCATTGGTATATGTGTGGTATATGTTGTATTATTGCTATATCATTGGTATATGTGTGGTGTATATGTTATCATTGGTATATGTGTGGAATATGTTGTATTTTTGCTATATGAGGTATCATTGGTATGTGTGTGGTGTATATGGTATCATTGCTATATGTGTGGTACATGTTGTATTATTGCTACATGTATATGTGCGGTATATGTGGTATCATTGATATGTGTGTGGTGTATATGGTATCATTGGTATATGTGTGGTATATGCTGTAGTATTGCTATATGTGCGGTGTATGTGGTATCATTGGTATGTGTGTGGTGTATATGGTATCACTGGTATATGTGTGGTGTATATTGTATTATTGCTACATGTATATGTGCGGTATATGTGGTATAATTGGTATGTGTGTGGTGTATATATTATCATTGGTATATGTGTGGTATACATGTATGTTGTATTATTGCTATATGTGTGGTATATGTGGTATCATTGGTATGTGTGTTGTGTATATAGTATCACTGGTATATGTGTGTTATATGTTGTATTATTGCTTTGTCATTGTTATGTGTAAGGTGTATATGGTATCATTGGTATATGGGTGGTATATGTGTCATCATTGCTATGTGTGTGCTGTCGATGGTATTATTGGTATATATGTGGTGTATGTGGTATCACTGGTATATGTGTGGTATATGTGGTATCATTGGTAAGTGTGTGGACTATGTGGTATCATAGGTATATGTGTGGTATATGTGATATCGTTGTATATGTGTGGTATATGTGGTATCATAGGTATATGTGGTATCATTGGTAAGTGTGTGGACTATGTGGTATCATAGGTATATGTATGGTATATGTGATATCGTTGTATATATGTGTTATATGTGGCATCACTGGCATCGATAGTATTATTTGTATGTGTGGTATATGTGGTATTATTGGTATATGTGTGGTATATCTGGTATCATTGGTATATGTGTGGTATATGTTGTATCATAGGCATATGTGTGGTATATATGGTATCATTGGTACATGTATATGTGTGGTATATGTGGTATCATTGGTATGTGTGGTATCATAGGTATATGTATGGTATATGTGGTATTATTGGTATGTGTGGTATCATAGGTATATGTATGGTATATGTGGTATCATTGGTAAGTGCGTGGACTATGTATTGGCATTGGTATATGTGTGGTATATGTGATATCGTTGGTATATGTGTGGTATATGTGATATCGTTGGTATATGTGGCATAAAAGAAGTCTCCGAATACACGCCCAGACACCAGCGACACTTTGCGTCGTGTTTAGAACCCAATGAGAATTACAGGTATGGCGTACATGTGTGTGGGTTAGAGGCCTCTGTTGTAGTTACTGTAGACGTCTCTATATACATACAGCCGGAAGTGGGCCCGATACAACACACAAGGGTTTCAACAAACAGTCTCTGCTGACAATGTAAACAGGATATTCAATAATGTACCATTAGAATAACCAGAAATACGAAAAAAAGATCAAAACGTCATACGATCTTCTCACTGAGCTACTTCGAGCCTTAACCTCGGGGCACCTGTTTGCTGTAAGGTACCGTTAGTCACTAAAAGCGAACGGGGTTCAATATTAATGATAGAATAATGAATGTAAGTTCGATGCACGTAATGAGATTCATGATCAGCAGATGAAGCCGCAGGCGATATGTATTGTTTTACATTCTTGTTCCGCTTGTAGCAACAGGGCGGTAGTAGTATTGCGTGGGTGCCATGAATAGACTTTACAAATTGTATCGATCTCGAAGCCATGATGAACTCGAGATACCATTGTTTCATGGGCGTATTGCCAAGCATTGTATTCGGAGAGTTCCGTCAGTGTCCGGGAATATGTTGGCATACTGTGTGACAAGTTCTGAACAATCGACCAGTGAAGAGTCGGGTATAAAAAAAGTCTTCAGCAGCCCATGCTTGTCGTAAAAGGTGACCATGCTTGTCGTAGGAAGCGACTAACTTGATCGGGTGGTCAGGCTTGCTGACTTTTAAGATGCATGTCATCGTATCCCACTTGTGTAGATCAATGTTCATGATGTCAATCACTGGATTGCCTGGTCCAGACTCGATAATTTTCAGACCGCCGTCACATAGCCGGAATATTGTTGAGTGCGGCATAAAACAACAAACAAACAAATCTGAACAATCGATTGTCCCGTATGACAAGTCTCAGTGTTTCCTATATTGATAATCTGCCTACTTAGGTTTGTCACAGTGGCGTATCAGTATTTTCGATATGATCTGGATAGCGTTTGAATGACAGCATGATCAACAACAAACACAAAGTATACAGGATGAATAATATGTGTCTGTTTGTATATTGTTTTACATATGATCTACTTGACACGCTTTGCATTAAAATTAGTGAAATACGCTGGTGGGTTGAAATTTGAATTATCTTGTACATTTTCATACAGTTAAGACGTGACTCATGTAACAGAACACGTCCCGCCTTTTCATCAAAAAATACTCTATATCAGGAAACATGGTGCTCGCCTGTCTATATCAGGAAACATGGCCCCGCCTCTTTATATCAGGAAACATGGTCCTGGTCTCACTATATCAGGAAACATGGCCCCGCCTCTTTATATCAGGAAACACATCACCGGTCTCTGCGTATCAGGAAACTTGGCCCCGCATCTCTATATCAGGAAACATGGCATCGCCTCTTTATATCAGGAAACATATCCCCTGTCTCTCTATATCAGGAAACATGCTGCTCGCCTCTCTTTATCAGGAAACATGTCACCGGTCTCTCAATATCAGGAAACATGGCATCGCCTCTCTATATCAGGAAACATGGCATCGCCTCTCTATATCAGGAAACATGCTGCTCGCCTCTCTATATCAGGAAACATGTCACCGGTCTCTCAATATCAGGGAACGTGGTCCCCGCCTCTCTGTATCATGTAACATGGTCCCCGCCTCTCTATAACAGGAAACATGGTCCCCGTCTGTCTGTATCAGGAAACATGGTCTCCGCATCTCTATATCAGAAAACATAACCCCGGTGTCTCTATATCAGGAAACAACCTTGTCCTTCATTGCTTTTAAACTGCCTAGAATATATTTTAGCAGTTTCATAACCTGCCATCTATCATTGCAATAATATTCAGCTAAATTTATTTTTCATAAAATTATATTATCGACTAAATTAGTATCAACAGTTTTTTCGGCAAGGTATGTTAAAGTTGTTTTGTAAACTGGAAACGCCTAATGCTGATATATACATATTGTTTGTAACGGCGGCTTGTCAGAAACATCCTACACAGGTAGAATAACGTGAAGATACTACATGAAGTGTCCAATCAATACCACCCAGAACCAGGCGCTGTATCACTGCCAGGGGAGTACCGACTGTCACCATCATCAGCTGGATGGCCCTCATCTTCCTCGTTAACATAACAGTAGAACCATCATGTGTGCTAAGTTATCATAAACCCAAGCATCTAACTGTCTCATTACATGCTGTAGTGACATTACATGGGAGGCATTGACACCTTACCCCAGGGTCACATGTCACTCACCCCCGGCCGAGGTGTGGCCGCAGCCATCTGGAACTCATCCATGCATAAGTTGAATCTTGACTCACACTCACGTGAACTTCTTGTTCAACTTTGTATCCAATTGTATCCTTGCCAATTGTGGCGTAGTACATAGTGACGTCATACGGCGACCAGGTTCGCCAAGAAAAGAACGATAAATACCCTCGAAGGAACAATACGTCAAATTAATGTATATGCTGACGTGTTTCGTTACTACGACTATTTAGAATACTGATTCCAATTGATCACCCAAGCCACCACTACACACATACGCATACACACACACGCACACACACACGCACACACACACAAACACAAAAAACAACAACACACAAACACACACATAAACACACACATACACACACAAACACACACACAAACACACATACATACACAAACACACAGAGACAGACATAAACACACACACGCACAAACACAGAAAAACACACAGGCACACCTAAACACGCACAAACACACACGCGCACACAAAATTTACTTACAAACGTACACGCACGGGCGCTCAAGCACACACACACACGCACACGCACACGCCTACGCACGTACGCACGTACGCACGTACGCACGCACACACACACACACACACAAGTTGTTTGACGTGTCTTAACATCAGTGGTTGTTAAGTCAAAAGTTTCTACCTATGTCTACAGCCGACATGTCTACCACGTGACTTCTCCGTGACACGGTACTGACGTTCACAGAATCGAAACTTGTCACGCCCATTTGTTCCTCAGTGTTTTATTTTATTCATCATTCCTCGACTCCGACGTCAAACGTCTCCCTGCCACGCCCACTGGCGACACCGTTTCATATATCCTTCAAGTCACCTCACTGCTACACCCAATCGATCCCGACCCCGCACTGTCTGCCCCGCCCCTCTCGGCGTCTCTGTCCACTCGTGTCGGGAAGTCCGCATTGATTACTCACACACAGCCAGCTCGCGCCCAGTGCACGCGCCACGCGCTCCATGCTGGTATAAAACCTGGACTTGTCAACTGGTCACGAGACTGACACACAGACAGATTTACCTGGTGGACGTTCGCACACTCAGGTAAGTCCAGCCCTGATTAATCTACATACATCATCAACTGTACCTATACCATTCCATACTTAATAATTGTGTGAAGCTTTCGAATCTGCAGTAGTAGTAGTAGTAGTAGTAGTAATAGTAGGAAAAGTAGTAGTAGTAGTAGTAGTAGTAGTAGTAGTAGTAGTAGTAGTAGTAGTAGTAGAAGTAGTAGTGAACACTCAGTGTCACTTTCATTTTCGATGAGGCATTGAATTCGGTGACTTTTGAGCTACTTTTATTATATTTGACCAAATCAGAACGATGAAATAAATAAATGTCCCGACGATATCAGAACTTAGATTAACTAAATGTGCCGATCTGAAATTGCTCTCAGGTTCTTTTTCTAACTTACATTTAGTGGTATTATTTTGGAAAGAAAGTTAAGCTATATTATTTTGATTGCCGAGACATGACACACGTATATTTTGGTGTTATTCTGGGTCAGAAAAGGTCCCCAGCAACCTATGCTGGTAAAGTGAGCTGAGTGAGTTTGGATTTACGCCGCCGCTTATAGCAATATCCCAGCAATATCACGGCGGGGGACACCAGAAATGGGCCTCACACATTGTACCCATGCCGGGAATCGAACCGTCTTCGGTGTGACGAGCGAACGCTTTTACCACCAGGCTAACCGACCGCCCCCTATGCTGGTATAAAAAAAGGACTTCATGCATCGGGTGGCCTGGTTGGGTGACATGTTTCATTGCGTTGCATCGTACTCCGACGGCATGGTTCGATGTACATGATATCAACCACTGGATTGTGTAGTCCAGACTCGAGTATTTATAGTACACTGTCACATTGCTGGATTGTCTTCAAGTTACTTGACTCGAGTTCTTGCGTTTATCGGTTCCACAAAACTAGGCTGTTTTTGTTTCTTTCTTTATTGTTTAACGCCGCACTCAGGAATAGTCCACCTATATGATGACGGTCTGCAAAATAATCGAGTCTGGACCAGGCAATCCAGTGATTGATGTCATGAGCATCGATCTACGCAATTGCGATACGAATACATGCATGAACCAAGTCAGCGAGACTGACAGCCCGATCCCGTTAGTCGCCTCTTACGACAAGCATTGCAATTGGTTGATGAAGTCCAGTTCAAACCCGCATCTTCAAGGGCAGCTTGGATGTAGGCACGTATCAATACCATCCAATATGAGACGTATGTGTAAATGTAAAAAAGACAAACACATCAATGTAAAACAAAACAGTCGTATCAAAGTTCCATGTAGGTTCAGAGATGCTATTTCAGCATTGACAACTAAAGCTGAGCACCGAATAACTATTTTTGTCATTTTTCATCAAACCTAACATACTATTGATCAAACGCTTTTTACACCATCATTATACAGTTCCATGTTAGCACTTTCTCATCTAAAGGTGACATCATCATTCATCATCTCATGCAGAAGAAGTGGATATAATACGTTTGATGATGTATGTGTGTCGCGTTCATATGAAATTAGTTGTCTCTATGCATTACGGTGTATTCTCGTCAACCAGCCTTGTTCTTTTTAACCAGTTTAAAACAATATTTCTCAATATAGTCGTATCATCTGTCACTTCTTGCAAATGCGTTACGTCCTTCTGGCTTTTGCCGACATCCATAGTTCCCGAAATTAATGGGCCTATGTTGACTGATCAGTTAACGCTCGTCGCCGCTAGGGTGCGCTCCTGTCACAGACAACGTATCGAATTTTTGGCATGTCGCTTTGATAGAAACTGTTTTAATTGGAAAAAAAATAGACAGATGTAGGAATTTCATAACAGATTGCGATTTTCTCTTTTCGTGGAACTGAAAAAAAAGAGTTTCACAATGTGCGCATGTGTCGTCATTAATTTTGTCGTGTTTCTTTGATTGGGATGAGAACAGTGTGGACTTGTGTGAGAGACAAGCTGGCTGTTTGATCTTCGAATAACTGATGTCGAAGCAATTATGAAAACGTGCAGCAATCGTGTAGTGGTATCATAAAGTGCTTACATGTTCGCCATGATCTCAAAACGAGATTGTCTGAGTAAGGGAGAAGTTTAAAAGTTGTATGATTGAAAATGATATTTCCTAGTTTCAATGAAGGTCAAGGTCGTGTTCAGGCAAACCTTATCGACTGCTCTGAGCTCATGGTGCCTATATGACGGTCATGGCAGTTATTAATTACAGATTAAAATTAAAAAATGCAGCAAAGAGGGTTTGGGTTGATCCTGGCACAGTCGGTCTGGTGAGGCTCATCATCAGCTCAGGACCTTTTCAGAGAATGTGAAGACTCCCAAACACTGCATCTTCCCGAGGCAAAAGAGTTAACTGATTTTAAAAGTCGAGTTTCCACCCTTGCCGAACTAGGCTGGAATTACTGGGCTCGATCGTAGCGCCACCAGTGGCTATTACGAGTTATGTCCTTTCTATGCCTTTCCTATTGACCAATCAGATTCAGCCTCTCGTATCACTTGCATTTGCTTCAAACAAAACGGTGGCGCCCAGTCAAGACCATCTGATTGATAATCAAGATCTATATTGTGATCAAACGAGTCTTATATCGCGAAGTGCATCAAATCACGTGAGCACCTTGATTAAAAGCATGAAAAGATTTAGAAAATATTTGTTGACAACGAGTTAGCGGTGCACATGCTTTGCAAATCCTGCAGTCGACCGACATCTGCATGACACTTTACGAACCGGATTTCGATTTCTGTGCGCGATTTTGATTGGACTATGCAAAGACTCGTTAGTCCAGCCAAAATGTAACTCCATAATTCCAGCCTAGTATGGCAAGGGTGGAAACTGGACTTTTATAGTCTGTTAACTCTCTTGCCTCGGGAAGGTGCCAACACTGCAGCCTTCTGCATAACCCAGATTGTCAGAAGGGCTGTATTCCTGGTAGCAAACCCGGGTACTCTCCCAATGTCAGTCAACAGATTGGGAGGTACCAAACCTAAGGCACCAAGAACAATAGGGGGTCGGACAACTTGGTACTTGGGATGTAAATGTGACATTTTGAAAGCGAGGTCTGCATATTTGCCATGTTTTTCCTGAATCTTTTGTGTATGGAATACAGATTTCGACTTAACGCAGCCAAAAGTAACATTGTGAAAATATCTTTCTTTGCCCTATCGCTTGAAATTTGATCGATTAGAAAAATTATCAAGATACAAACTAAAAAAAGGTCTGTGAACAATCTATAATATTGAAACAAATGCATTCTTTAGGAGAACATGTATATTGACTTTTGCCTCTGCCGACACCCAAAGCCTTACGTGAAATAAATTCATGAACCTGTTACTGTAAAATAAACTTTTGTAAAACTGCATTTTAAAGATAACAAAATCAGTATTTAACTTAACCAACCCAAGCATATTCATTATTAAATACTCATTCATCATAAACTATAAACGTTAATTGAGGAACACTGCCGCAAAAAAATCAATATACAGTAAACTACGGTTATAACGAACTCAAAGGGACTACTTATTTTCGTTCGTTATAACCGTAGTTCGTTATAAGCACATATACAACATAACTACAGCAAATAGTTGGGACCCAAAAAGTAAGTTCGTTTTATCCATCAGTTCGTTATAAGCGTGTTCGTTATAACCGTAGTTTACTGTATTAGAAAATGGAAACACGAACTGCAGACACATTTCCCCAACGAAACATGGAATAAATACCACATAATACTATACTGGGGTTTCAGGTTAGAGCTAGTCCCCAGCAACCTATGTTTGTCTTTAGAGGAGACTTAATGGTGGCGCAGTAAACACGACATAGCGGGCATCAAGTAAAAGAATGAGTTCGTGTGGTTTATCCACTTTACACAACATTCCAGCAATATTACGCCGGAAATGGGCTGCACATATTGTTACCATGTGAGGAATCGAACCCTGGCCTTCAGCGTGACGAGCAAACGCATTAACTATTAGGCTACTCCTACGCCCAAGAGAATTTCCGAATTTGAGTTTAGTTTGACAATATAACCTCAAGACATGTCCATTCCCCTTTTGCACAGTATTCCAAAGCACCATAAAAATCAGTACAAAGAGCGATGCATCTCATGTCTCAAAGATTAACCATAATCTGAGTACAAACACAGGACTGTCTTCATATTCACAGAAAGAAACTGACGAAAGTGGAATTAATATCACGAGGATTCTCAAAACCTCAAAGGATTTGCTTGAACTTTGTAGAAAAAAAACCGATGTTTAATTCCGTCAAAACATCAAAACATTTGCTTTTTCAACTGTGTTCACCACTGTCTCACACGAAAAACTGCAGGAAGTCCTTAATTCCTTGATCCATGGGACATGTGTCACTAAACTTGGTGACCATAGATATTGTTAAATTTCTATCGGAAAATGTTTAGGACAATTTGTCAGAACAGACAGCAAATGTCATCTGAAGTCTACTTTGAAAACAATATGGGGAAATGCTGCACTTTCTCACAGATCATATCTGTGTGAAATTTGCTAAATAGGTACATTTTTTACTGCGACTAGGGGGCATCCCCATTGGCACCAATCGTGCTCCCCTTCTGATTTGTTTCTTTATGTATATTAATTGGACTTTCTGCTCGGATTGGCAAAATCAAAGCAAGGGAATTTGGCCAGGAAGTCTAACTCCTTCTTCAGGTGAGTGAGTGAGTGAGTGAGTGAGTGAGTTGGGTTTAACGCCACTTTTTACACTATTCCAGTTATATCACGGCGTGTCAGCTTAATGTGGGAGGAAATCCCGAAGTGATGCAGGTCTCAGACCTTTACCACTTCGGTGAAACCCACGAGCACGGGTATGGTGCTGACAAACCTAGAAACATAATTTGGGCGAACTGGAATTCGAACCCACAATCATAGGTTTCTGGCGTGCCCAAGGGACGCAACTCTGCACAACGAATCGCGGCGCCTTAGACGATTGGGCCACCTGTGCCCCTCCCCCTCCTCCCCAACAGTCAACTTTCTCTATATGTCGAGATTTCAAGAGCGTCATGCAACTCATG